CTCTGCTTCCTCTGCCAAGACGTACCATTCCTCAAGTCGATGTGGGTCTCCTCGGGGCAGGCAAGCATCATATAGATCATAGTTTAGTCCGTCTTTGAAACGGCCAAGGAGGATGTCTTCTGGCCAATTCAGTTTGCTGGCAATGGCTCGGAATTCTTGTGTATACTCAGCCACTGGGCGTTTGCCCTGCCTCATCGTTGTTATTCTTTCACGGGCTTTGCGATCAGCCAGGGGGTCTTCAAATCGTCTTCTCAACGAGGACATGAAACGGTTGAAGTTACTGAGTTCTGGGGCATTGGAGTCATGCAGGTTCACCACCCAATCTGCAGCTGGTCCATCCAGGGCAGATTGCACGATCCGGATGCGGGCTTTGTCGCTGGGGATGTCCTGCCCATATTCCTCCATGTAGCTGAGGACTTGGGTTAGGAAAAACCCCAAGCGTGTTGGCTCCCCTTTGAATTTCACCTCCAACGGTGGACGTCTTGGAATGGATCGGTGCCTCCATTGTGGGTGGTAGTGTCTTCCGTCCAGATTTCCATCTGTGGTCCGGTAGGGGGTGGGAGCTCCTGGATCAGTAAATGTCCCTGGGGTTGCAGGTTCCACGTCCCCCTCGGTGTCTCTCCCTTTGTGGCTCCAGGAACTGGGGCGGGCGTAGGGCTCAGGAATCTCCTCTCCTAGGGAGCTGAGAGTTCTCTTCATCAGGTCAATAGCTCTCTCTAGGATCCAGTCTGAGTACGGCATACAGCTTCCTCCCTCTTCACTTGCGTGCAGGGATTTCTCCATCTCCTGCTTCCATTCTGGTTGCTTGGTTCCCCGTCTCAGGGTCACTTTTCTTGATTCCTTTCCCCACTCGCTTTTCTTTCCAACGCCCATCGACCAGCGAGGCTTGTGGTCCTGTGTCTCCACCACTTCTTCTTCTGAGAAATCTGGCCTCTCGGATCCCAACATCTGGCAAGGTTCCAACTGGGTCAGCGGCTCTCTTTCCAGGGAGTTTTCTCCCTCTCTTGCTTCGTTGTCTGACATGGTAAATTTTTGCAAAATCCCCCGGCAAGGGTCTACCTTCCAGGTGGATTAATTTTGCAAGTCCTGTCTAATGTAAGGACCCACCCCACTTTGCATCTTAAGAAGACAGAACTCTTGGAATAGCTCTTCCAACAGGAATCCTTTATTAAGAGAAAATGGTTGCAGGCATGCTAGACAGGACTTGGGGTTCAAGCTCTCCCATTCAAGGTTTTAAGGGGTTCCCCAGTAGTCCCACCCAATCAACCCCCCTTCCAGTGATAGTTTCAAGTATCACAATTCCATCCCCTTTCTTCTTCCGTCTGGATGGAGACTTCAGATAACTACATGAAAGGCAATTACTCTTCTTTGATATGTTAAAGCTTAGAGGCCACAATAAACACACATTCAGTCCTTTGAAGTGTGCTGAAGGAAGTGAGGGCCATAAAGCCCCTTTGCTCTCCCCCTTTTCTCCCTCTTATGGCAGAATCCAGAGAAGGCAGAATTGGGAGTTTCTATGTTTGATAATTAAAGATGAAATATAATTGGATTCTGACAGTGACATTATTGGCATTTAAAAAAGCAGGGAAGGAAGTGCTTTGTCTTGGACATTATAAACAGTAGAATGATATGGACAATTGTTCAAAAAAGTATTTATTGGGACTGCAGAGTTGCCATATCATCAATGGAGGCTAAAGATTCTTCAAAGCCACCAGAGTGATGCCACAGACGTCTGCCTAAAAAGAACTTCGGAAGGTGGAAGACTAGAGTAATGGTAACCCCAGTATTCTGAACCCTGTTGAGTGTAAAGATGGAGGTTCCCACAGATGACCTGTGTCCTCTGGACATTTCTGAAAGTTTGAAGTCCTCATTTTTGTACCACAAGTATCTTTGGATCACATGAGGTTGAGCTGGCATTTGCACTTTCCCCCTCAGCCAAAATTGGACAGCGATGTCCATAATCTCAAGTGGAAAATACCCATGTGCAAATTCATTCTTGGCTGCCCATGAGCCTTAAATGATTGTGTCCCTTTTGTTAAGTGGTAGGGCCAACTCTGTTAGGGAGGACTCTGAGGCCAAGAGAAAGAAGGGTTGCTTTGGAAGCAGACGGCCACCTGCCCTTTTGTTACCCACCAAGGCAGGCCTGCCAAAGCAGCTCTTCGTATCAGATTAAATTTTGCATTTTCATCTAGCCAACAGCAGCTGCTTGGTCTTCCCCCCCTCCCCCAGCATTTAGAAGGATTTGTTAGTTAAATGCTAATGCCACCAGATAAATGATGCAAATGTGAGGTGGGAGAGCTTTATTTCCCAGTTAGCCCAGGGAAACTTGGGGACAAGCCTTTGAAATATTGGATGAATATACAGTATGCTAGGGTCATTTTGTAAGCTCAATAACCTTTAAAGGAAAGAAATGGACACTGAGTCACACTTGAGCTTCTGAATCTGGATTTATTCCATTCAATTTATGGAAGAAAAATTATTTGACTGGCAGTAGATATAAGCTTAAAGTTAAAAAAAGCCCACAGGTTTTGCAGAAAAACTGCTTGCTTGCCCATTTTAAAGATCCCATATTTCACACAGATCATCTCTGAATTGGAAAGCTATCGTTAGTGGTTGGCATATCTTTGCAAATGATCCCCCCCCCATGTCTCCTCTCTGAATGACGGTGGTTATGGGCAGGGTTTTTTTTCTCATAGAATGCCCAGAACGGAGTTCCGGCACCTTTTTTGGATGGAAGCTTGTAGGGTAGGCAAGGTGGGTTATATGATGTGTGTTCCGGCACCTTTTTTTTTTTTTTTTTTTTTTTTAGAAAAAAAGCACTAGTTCCGGGTGGTCCAACATGCAGATCTTGCAGAAGAATGGTGACCTTCAACCTCCAGCAGAACTTTGGCAAGCCTGGGAACCCCAAAGAAGGGAAGTGGGGGTTAGGGGACAGATGGACCTTGCACTATATGTCCCTAGATGCACAAATCCAGTGAGAAAAACAAGGTAACCAAGGTTTCCTTCAGCATTCACTGGCAAAGGAGTCCAAAACAACCTCTTAGATATTTACTTCACCATTTGCACACTTATTTTTTCCATCCTAATGCCCATAATCCCCAGCCACACAGCTCTCAGGTATTGGTCATCCAACCTCTCCCAGGGCAGGTTGCAGAGGGCTGAACACTGCAGCTGAGAACCTTCTCTCCAGAAGAGGGGAAGTCAAGCTGAACGATCTTTGCATTGCTTGGCGCCTGCGTGGCTTCACAAGACAGGCTTGAAAAGTAACTCCCCCGGCATGCCAAAGGGTTAGGGTCTTGAAGGCTCTTCGGCTTCTGGGCCACAGCACAGCTTTGCGACTGGCTTGCTTCTTCTCTGCCCAGTGTGGTGGTGGACCCGCTTCCTCCCCCTGCCCCCACCCCTGCTTTCCTGGTGATATTCACCAGCCATCCAGCCTGATTTCCCCTTTGCTGCCACTTTTGGGTTAGGGCTGAATATTTGCTCTCCAGAAGGAAGGAGATGCTTCTCGACCAGCCCTTGAAAGAGGAAGAAGACCTTTAATCACTAGGCTTGGAACAGCTTCACAGACTGACTTCTGCAAATAAAACCAAGCAAGCACATGCCTTTGATAATAGCAGTATGAGCGATAACAGGACTGACAAACAGTGAAATAATATTTCATTAATTGCCTTAGTTGGGATTCCTTGGGGCCAGTCCAGCATGTTCCCCAACCATTCTTAGCAACTTGAGCTCTCTTGTTCTTTCTAGGTGACTATAGTTTAATTTCCATTCCTCTACCATCCTCACCCCTTTAATACAGAAATATCAATTGCAATATTAGAAGCCTAATACTCACCTTATGGGACACATTATGCAGCCTCTTCTTTGCTATAGTGATGGAAAGTGGTTACAAGAGTTTTCTTTCAACATCCCTTTGGTCTAGTTTGATGGCAAATGCCAATCTTGGGTTTTATTTGCAGTTATTTTGGTTTTTTTCGGGATTACTTTTTGATTTTGACATTGTTGATTTTCCTATTATGTTTTTGGCTCATCCAATGGACTTATAACTACAGATAGTACAGATGAACAACTGTTCATTTATCAACCATTCAAACATACTGGAAAGTCATTTATGACCACTTTCACACTTACGATCATTCCAGCACCCCCAGGGTCACGTGAACAAAATTCAGACACTTGGCAACTGACTCACCTTTATGACAGGGTCCCAGGGTCCTTTTGCAACTTTCTGACAAGCAAAGTCAGTGGGGAAGCCAGATTCACTTAACAACTGGGTCCCGAACTTAATAATTGCAGTAAGTCATTTAAAAACGGTGGCAAGAAGGTTGTAAAATGGATCAAATTTCACTTAACAACTGATCATTTAGCAACAGAAATTTCGGGCTCAATTGTGTTTGTAAGTTGAGGACTGCCTGTACTGTTAAATCCATCCATCCATCCTCCCTGGATGGAAATTCATGGAGAGTCCAAGGTGCCCTTTGGCATTAAACCATTGATTTTCTCTCTAGCCTACACAGGTAGTCCTCAATTTACAACAGTTCATTTAGTGACTATTCAAAGTTGCAACAGCACTGAAAAGTGACTTATGTCCTTTTCCACACTTACACTCACTGCAGCAACTAGGAAGTCATGTGACCATAATTTGGATGCTTGGCAACCTTGGCAATTGCAAACGACACAAATATGAATCAAATACGATCCTGTGATCACCTTTTGTGACCTTCTGACACGCAAAGCCAATGGAGAAGCCAGATTTACTTAACCGACCGTGTTACTAACTTAACATTAATGCTTCACTTAACAATGTGAAATGGGGCAAACTTTACTTAACAAATGCTTCATTTAGCAAACAGAAATTTTGGAGTCAATTATGGTCATAAGTCAAAGACTAGCTGTATTGCAGGCAAAAATTATTATGATGGTGGGAGTAACTTGTCCTAAGCTCTTTGGAACTGGAGTACTTAGAAATTAACAAAGCCTTTTTTTTGTTTTCTCTTTAGAGAGGCCTCTCTCCTTCCTTCTTTGACCAAAAGATCGGCAGAGACCAGGCTCCATGGATGAGTGGGATGCCCCCCAGTGGAAAAAGGAAATTGAAAGCCTTAAGTATCAGTTGGCTTACAAGCGGGAGGTGTCATCAAAAACAATTCCTGAGTGAGTTCATCAGATATTATTTTGTGCAAATAGAGAACTAGAATGTTACAAGCCTTGAGTTTCTAGCCCCTAAAGTTGCAAACAAAAGGTTTGAAAATGAGTGGGAAATATGCACAAGGGGGAAGGGCTAGCAGGAATTTTGATTATTCAGTTATTGTTCCAGTAATTAGGTGTCAGTCTTTTTATTTGGTTTCAGTAGAAGATTTTAACAGTTAAATAATGAATAACTGCATTCAAGCAACAGGGCTGGGAGTTTTATTTATTTGCAATTAGTATACTGCGTGAACTGTACCTGTTGGGTGAGCAGGATTCCATGCAAACTTGGAAAATGAGTTCAGAAACAAGTTAACATGGAGGCTGGATCTGCACATTTACATTTCCAGATTTGATTTGCAGTTAGAATTGGAAAGATCCAGTCTGAAATCTGGCAAACTGCAGCCAGATCCAGGCCAGATTTTCCAGTCTGTTATTCCAACATTGTGGTTGTTGAAGTAGACCAGGGTCTTCAAACTTGGCCCTTTTATGACTTGTGGACTTCAACTCCCAGAATTCCTCAGCCAGCGTGCCTGGCTGAGGAATTCTGGAAGTTGAAGTCCACAAGTCATAAAAGGGCCAAGTTTGAAGACCCCTGAAGTAGACCAAACCAAGTTAGATAATGACTTTTGATCAGAATAACATATTGATAAGCCTCTGTGCAGAGAAATCAGGCTGTGAATTCCGCTGCTGGGATTACTTGGCATCTCTGTAAAGAAATCACCTCTGCTGTGTGTTTCGAAGCATAATTTTCCTCCTCCTTTGATACAGAAGATGATTTGGACTAGCAAAGAGAAAACTGGTCCAGTTCTATTTGTCTTCCTTTAGACATAAAGCCAGCCAGGTCTTTTTGTGTCACCGAAGGCAAACTGCTTGGGCCTGGTTCATGTGGAGTGTACATTACTGACATGCCACATCCATTATTATGGTGGAAGAACAGCGATTCTTACAGAAAGGTATCCAAGAACTTTCCTACGCTTTGGAAATTTTCAAATAACATTATACCAAAGGCAGCCATCCAGAGATTCATATGGGTAATGTGGATGCGCAAAATTTTTTGTTGCTCCTACTCACACTTCAGATTACTTTCCTGTAAATTCCTGCTTGCAACTGTATTTAGAAGCCATTTAGCATCATTTTTTAAAGATGAGAATGTTACTCCTGGAGATGATAGTTTCATCAATCTGTATAACAACCAAGTATAACACTGGATGCTATCAGTGAGAGATCTTGCTTTCTGTTTCTTTCCAGATTCCTTAAATGGATCGAGGAGGGGATTCCAGAAGATCCATTCTTGAACCCAGAACGAATGAAAAACAACCCTTGGGTGGAAAGAGGAAAATGCACAATGCTCTAATCCATGTTCTTAGCCCAGCACTGTCCCTGATTGACAAATGCTTTCCTTTGGGCATGCTCCCAAATTGCATTAAACAGAAGGCTCCAAAATTATTCGCTTGCCGCTCTGGCTAAATCCTCATTCATAGTCCTTTGTTAGTGCTGAGGCCTTAAGCAAGGACTATGCTAAAGGCTTCCCAAACATTTGGTCTCCTAGGCACTATTGGGGTGGGTGTGGCTTAAGTAGAGATCCAGCTTCATGCACAAGGAGCACTGGAGGTGGGCCTTACCTCAGTGGCTCTCTCTAAAATTCTGACAGCACTGAATTTACAATGTCTCCCAGCTCCTGGCTGTGCGTTTGCTTCCAAAGGGTTGTCCTACAGAAAGCCGGATTATCCTTACCAGGGATAGAGGCCTGGCCATCTGTTGTGTGGTGGGAGAGAACCAGAATGAACGTGGGCTATTCTTCACTGGCACAGAATGACGGGAGCCTCTAGTGCCACATTGTAGTATGTTAGGACCTGCTTATTTTAAACCTGTTGGTTCATGATTTGGGAACCATTGGGAGGGATAAATTTGTATGGAGGAGACTTCCTATTTTGAATCACTGCAACTAAAAGAATGGAAATTAATTGTAACCAGAAAGAGTGAAGCAGAATCAAAGTCCTTCTTAGGAACCCCACCAGTTGCTCTTTCTTGTAAATCTAATTTTGTTTGCTGTTTTCTTTCTTTCTTTAGATATAAACATACATTTTGTAAGCATTTTCATTTTTTTCTATTTTAGGAAATTCAGTTTTGCAGTAGAAAACTGCATGAGTGTAATAAGTTTATAAAAATGAAATAAAGCAATACTAAGCATATCTTTATTTACTCCAAAATAGGATTTCATGCAAAAAATACATTAAAAATTCCTCCTTTTGCCTGATTTTTCATGCCCTTATTTCCTTTATTTTTTTAATTGCTAGAGAAAATCTTTAATATAAATGTTTCTCCGAACTGCATTGGAAACACCTTCATTAAACTGGAACCAAACATCACTTTGCCCAACAGCTTTTCCAATTTGCTTTTCTACTGTATTTTTCTCAGGTACCTGATTAATTTCTAGGAGGAAAAAAGAAAAGAAAAAATGGTAGCTGTAAGGGCTTTGACAATCATAAAGTCAAAATGGTGACTAGAATAACACAACTAAAGTCTCCCCCTTCTTTATATGACTTGTTTATAAACAAGAGGTGGCTGATTAGGTCTGCCTTGAACTGAGAACCAGAGAATGGTTCAGGCTGGTTAAAGAAGACAACTCTAACCATGATCAGTGATCAAGGTGTGCAGCCTGATGATTTCCTTGGTCGTTGGGTTCTTCAACTTGTCCTACCTGAAGGAGAGATTAAGGTATTTTTTTCCCCTTGAAAAAATAACAAAATAACAATAACACAAAATAACGGGAACAATAACAAAAATAACCCTAATCTGTTATTTGGTGGGACAAGCTGAAGAATCCAAGGACAAGGAAATTATCAGGCTGCAAGCCTTGATCACTGACCATGGTTAGAACTGCCTTCTTTAACCAGCCTGAGCCATTCTCTGGTTCTCAGTTCAAGACAGACCTAATCAAGTCAGGAAATCAAGGTATTTTTTATACCATGTCCCTCACTGGGGTGCAATCATCACAATAAAAATTCACAATTATAAACTACAGAAAAATATTCAAGTTGGTATAATCATGATACATTTATAGTCACTGCATAAGTTTAAGAACCACTAACTTAGTGAGCTAAAGGGGCTTGAGCGCTTTTCATTGTTTCTGTCAGCACTTTAATGTATTAAGAATTTTAACAGATTAAAGAAAATATCACGGAGGGGATTCCAGGAATGCTACTACTGTTGTGGGGTATATTGCCACTGAAATTTCATCCACAACCTTGACTGTCCCCCTTTTGGGGACTACAGGGACAAGATGGGCTTTCTGATTTCCTGGGGCTGAGCAACCCTTTTACTAAAGCTCAAAACTACTACAATTTCTATGCTGCAAATTTAAATCACTTTCAAACCCAGTGAATGCTATTACTGGCACGGCCAACTAAGGAAGCAAGGAAGGACTCCGATGATTCTCAGTATGCTTTAACAACAGAGAGCGCATCACGCCCTGTTGTCCCTGCAGAGGACAAAGATTGAAAGGGCTACAGCCAGTGGTGGGATTCAGACAGTTCGCACCACTTCGGCAGAACCGGTAGCTAATTTTTTGTTGCCCAGGCCCAGAATGGACTTCTGGAAGCGGCATCCACACAGAGAACCGGTTGTTGACCTATTGGAATCCCACCACTGGCTACAGCCCACCCAATGCTTCCTCTTCCCCATGAGGTTATTTCCCTGAAGAGACATTTCAATCCAATCTGACAGGTGAGCCGAACTGTACTGTAACCCACCATTTCCTCAGAGGAGGGGCCAGGAGGTTTCCCTTTAGCCGAAATCTTACCTGGTGAAGGGACTGCCTTTTTCTTGAGAATGACCTGGCCAAAGAAGTCTCTTTCTGGCTGGGGGAGGGAAGCAGAGATCATCAGCAACTACGCTTCTCAAAGAGCAGCACAAAAACAACAGGCTGCGGCTGTTTCAATCTCCGCCAGAGCCTGGATCTCCACTAGGGCACCCAGAGGCATAAAGGGGCCCCACTTGGCACCTTCTTTATTGAATTTCTCTCTACATTTTTCAACAATGAAAAGAAATGGGACGTTGACAGGTACAAGGCTAAATTCAACTTTAGCTTTATGATCTTCTTTCATTCCCAAATCCCCTAGGACTTCACTAGACCCCACTGGTGATTTGAGACAAAATGGGTGACTCCTAGCTGATGCTTTGTTGGGAAATGTGCCCTCCTGCCTAGAAAACCGGGCACGGCATGGCCAGGTTTTCTGAGAACTGGGTCAATTTATACTAGAAACTTTGCTAATCTGAGGGGATGAAAAATAACCTATAAAAAAAAAACTATACTAGAATTGGGGGACTGAAATCATGTTTTTCATTTGCAATTTGTAATTTTTCATGAAGCAGCTTCCTTACTTAGTGGATGTTTTGATGGGGCTCCAACTCAAGCTCCTTTCCAAGACTGCCTAGCAATGTGTTCCAGAATCTTTAGCTATGCAGCTCATGCGGTTTCTCGGACCAAAGAGTGTTGGCTTTTTTTAATGCACAATTTGCCTCACAAGGCCACACATGCTTTGGCCAAACTCCACAATACTGCACCATCCTGTCCTTCTAGCTCTTATATATGGTCATCACCTTTTCCTCAACTGTCGCTCTCTTCACAATTTGGTTGAGACTTTGCTCGTGGTTCCTGATCCTGGATTTGCGCAGCTCCCTACCTGTCCCTGCTTCGTGGTTGGTTTCTGTGGGGAGTGACCTGGCCTCTAATGCCTGAGGGAGGGCAGAGAAACATTGGGGTGGTTAGGAGGGGGGAAGAATAAAAGAAGGGGAAAATTACAGCAGTTTTACCAGAGCTATGCGCAATCTTCAACTGTTACGCTTAAAATTTACTTAAAATAAAAATCCTTATGATCAGTTCCAAAAGGCCCCCATTAAATTGTGTATTTTCCCCAAATTGTTTATTTGTAAAAAGAGCAGATTAAAAACATTTGTTCTCTTTTAATACATCATGGATCACCTTGGGAGTGATCCTAACACTACACCTGGGAGTTAGTGGCAGATTTAAGATATGGGATGGGCAAAAAAAGAAAAACAAACAAAGATCCCCCTGCCCTCTTTTTATTACCTCCCTTCCATGTTTCTTCTCAGAAGCCCTCTGGATATTGTATCATAATGAATAATAACTCCATGGTGGGGGAAAGTGAGGTGGTGATGGGCAGGTGTAGTCAATCACTCTTTGCAAACGAGGCAATGAAACGAGAGCTTGGCTCATCTGAATTACCACCAAATGCCTGCCAATCTGATGGCGTCAGGGCACGGGCATTTTGCAGTTTGAGACCAGCTCCAAAGGTGCCTTTGTAGCACGAGTCTTATGACCTGACAGCTCCTCAGAACCAGCCACCAAGCCAGCCAATGGTGCCCGGAGGCTTCCCAAGGGAAGTCGATACCTGGAAAGGGGCCTCCATCTGCCTCATCTTCTCCAGTTGGATCTCTCTCGCAATGAGCTGCTTGGCCTGGTAAGTCAGCGGTTTCCGAAATGGGAGATCAGGAAACCTGCAAACCTCTTCCACATTCCTAGGGTTTACAGCCAAGGCAGCAGTATTATTGTAAAAGGAAACAAGACCCAAAGCATGTTAAAAACAAAGCACACCTTTTCACACTTGCACTTTCATTTGAATACAATTTGGCATTTGGGTCACAACAAGTTTTTGTAAAACCCACTGAAGTAGGAGTTGTATTCATGGCGTGTCCGCCGACCAATCGCCATGCCGTCTCTTGGGAGGGCACCGAAAAAAGCAGAGTCCATGTGCACGCCTGCCTCGTGCTCGCCCCGCGTCTGCCATGCTCTCCACAGAGCGCTGCAGCTGACCTGAGGCGGCCGGCTAGGCACCAAAGTGCTGCCGAAAACAGTGGAGCCTGTGTGCACACCTGCTACACAGTCACCTGTCAACTGTGCTTTCCAAACCTCGGATCAGCTGCAACACCGTGGAGAGCATGGCGGACGTGGGGCAAGTGTGAGGCAGGCGCACACACGGACTCCGCTTTTTTCAGTGCCCTCCCAAGAGGTGGCATGGTGATTGGTCGGCAGACACACCACGAATGGGGACTCACCATCCCCCAAACCCTGCTGCTGCCAAAGTGGATCCCGGGCTGCAATGTCTGCTGCAATGGAGAGACAGGAAGTGGAGCAGCCGGTGCTGTCATGGTTCCGACTAATGAAACACTTCAAAGAACTTTCAGGCATTTTATCCTAAAAAAGTCTTTTTATTTATGTGACAAATAAATAAGGCATGACGAAAGGGAATGCTAAGATCTGAAATTTCCACCCACCGAGCAGTTATTTTTGCTAGCATTTTCCCTCCCTTATTTTGCTGTCATGATTTACGTTCTCCAATTAGTCTGAAGGGCAAAGGTTCTCTTCCTTTCCCTTTTGCAGGCTTTCCCTTCTCCCTCATTCTCCTCTGCATCAACTCTAAAAATACCAGACAGTTCTGCATATTTTGTCAAAGCAAGAATATTCAATATTAGCAGCGTTGACAGGTGTGAGGAAAGGAGGAGCGTGGAGAAGAAAGAGGAAAAGCGGCTGAGTAAGAAGCGCCACCGAAAACAGCAGAGACCGTGTGCCTGCCTGCCACTTACTCGCCCCTTGTTAGCCATGCTCTTCATAGTGCGCTGCAGCTGATCCGAGGCATGGAGAGCATGGCTGACACGGGGCAAGCGTGTAGCAGGCGCATACAAAGACTCTGCTGTTTTAGGCAGTGCTTTGTGCCTGACCGGCTGGGACGGCCCCGATCCTCACTCGGCTGCTTTTCCTCTTTCTTCTCCCTGCTCCTCATTCCCTTGCATTGGCTGCTTCACTTCCCGTCTCTTCATTGGAGCACATATTGCAGCCTGGGATCCACTTTGGCAAATTTCTTTTGTTTGTGGGACTGCCCACGTTGGCGGAGGAGCGCGTCAGAGCTGGAAAAAAGGTTAGTAAAGAAATGCTTTGGGAAGGGAGGGCATCTGGGCGGTTAGTGGGTGAGGCAAGCTCTCCAGCTCCATGGTGGAAGAGAAATGCAATGCCTTCTGGCTCCGGCACTCTACCTGGCATTTCGGTGGCTGTGTGGGCAGAGCTGCGAAGAGGGCCAGGTGGCCAAAGTGCAAGCAGTCTGGCTCGGAAGGGGAGTGAGAGGGCAAACCCCCTAAGGCTGCCAGGCCTGAAACGGGCCCATCGCTCTCTAAC